TAGCTCTTCCAATTGGCGAAACTAGTTTTGCATCTGAGGCACAAAGTATAAATCTATCAGGAAACAATTACATACACACAATTCTTCAGTATGTAGCATATATGACCTGAGTGCAAAACATTTCATGTCATGCAATAATGTGTTGTAAACGGCTCACTTACCATCATTTTTCTCACTAATTTGGACAAAAATGAACCCTTTGTCAGACGGCACTGTGGAGGGATTTGTCATTTTAATAATGGCATCAAACTCCAGTGGATGGTAAGACATTCTTTTACCCATCTCTGAGATGCTGAAAGTTTGTGGAAATAACAAAAACCGTCTGTATAATAATTGTATAATAATCGTCATTGTTATTAAACAAGAATTAGCATTAACATTTGTTCATATTGCATAAAAACATATACACACACAACAGTCTGCAAACCACTAAGGAACCAAAGCTGGGAGAGGCTATATACACAAATTTCTGGAAAGCTCATTAAACGTTTCAGAGTACAAACTATCTGCTCACAGTACAGCATTTCTGACGATGAGCTCAGATTCTGCACGATGGTTGGTCCGCATCTCAATGGCCCAACGGACCTTCTGGAGTCCTTCAAACAGATCGCACAGCGTGCTTCCAGGCTCGATGCTGGGCAGTTGCCGCACATCTCCTGCAGACATAAAACAAATTAATAAAGTTCAGTAGCTGTTTATTTCTATCGTGTCATACATGCAATTTGCCTTTACCTAAAATGATGAACTTCTGGAGTTTTGAGTGTTTGGTAAGCATGCTGAGAATGGAGTGAAGGATCTGAACAGACACCAGGCTTCCCTCGTCCACCACCAGCACCCGCACCTTCGAGAACATCCATTCTTGTGGATTTCCACTTTGATCCTTTTTTGCATTCATGAAACTCCATAAAACCTGAACAAAGAAGACAAATTAACAAGGAGGAACATCATGCAGGAGTCCATTGTATCCATGTTATTTGTCTGTACTGGATACTGTATAATTTGGCAATACCTGGTGCACGGTATAAGCAGTGAAACCGGTTCTCTTAGTAAGAAGTGAAGCAGCTCTTCCTGTAGGAGCAGTAAGGAGAACCTCTACAGGAGGCTTTTCATCACTGTCACTCTTGCTGGTCTGTTTCTGCACGGCTGCCTTAAACACCAGGCTGACCAATGTGGTCTTCCCACAACCACCCTTCCCACTGATCACAGTCACCGGGTTGGCGCACATCATTTCTGCTGCTCGCACTTGATCAGGGTCTAACTCTGTAGTAGAGGGATCAATGTCCGAGTAGGTGGAGTCATTTGAGTCAAAATATGAGTCGTCTCTTTTTATGATGGTCTCAGAAACTGGGGACTGGGGAGAATCGCAGTGGGATGCCATTCCTCCATTGTGGTCCATGCTTGAGGAACCTGGCTGAGCTTCATCTTTTTGCTTGCACCCAATCCCCTGCTCCATGTCATTTTGTTCTGAGGTTGATGTTCTTGCGTCACAAGCCTTCCCCGTTAGTCTCTCCATCGCAGCTCTTTGAAGAACTTTCCTCACATCCAAGTGGATCTTCCAGGGGTCTCCCTCAACCAGGGCCCTCAAGCATTCAGCAATGTCTATTTCGTAGCTGAAGAGGTTGTGAAGTGCCACCTTGTTGTTCTCCTTTATCAGCACCTCTTGCTCGTTTAGGAACAAGGCCCCTTCAAATGCAATTTTCCACTGTTGCATCTTCTCCAGCAGCATCTTCTGTTCAATGTATGTGCTTCCAGTTTCTCTGCAGTAGTGTTTCAGTTTCTCATACAATTGTAAGGCATTTTGCTGCACCTCTGGGATTCTTCTGAGCAAATTACAAAGCTCAAAGGACTTCATCTTTGCTTCACATCTGATCATACGGAATTCTTTAAACATGATCTGTTGAAAATATGACAACACTGAAGTACCAGTCAAATCAAAAAGATATCAAACAATGAATAATATTAAAAATGTTTCAGCAATAGCAAAAGACTAGAGAAAGAAAGCCCTTAAAGCTTTAACTTTGAATAGACCGACAGGCTAGACTGAACAGACTGAAGGATTGTGCCAAGGTGAGTGAAGCTTGAAAGCTATAGGATGTTAAAGATGTAAAGAAATGTACAATAACAAAATAATTACAGCTATACGCTTACATAGCTGAAGCCCAACTTCCAAACATCATTCTCAATTAACTTCTCTAGATTCTCCAATAAGTCTGTGTTACTCTGCTGCTGTGGAGTTTCTTCAGTGGTGTCCTGTGTGTTTTTCATCTTTCCATTACTTATTATCTCCATAAACTGGCCTGGCAGCAATGTTGGGAAGTATTTCATGATTTGAGGGTACATGCTGGCAACTCTCACACGTGTCCAAGCAACTGTGTTTTAGGACAAAATTAACAAGGACAAGCACAGTAACATCATTTTCAAAATCACTTACTGTAACTAATTACTCATTACTTACAGTCATGTCAGGCATGAAATGAACCAAGAGTTGTTTTGTGTAACTAGAGTGTACGAAACTTAAATCAGTATCATCAATGACTGGATGTTCATATGATAATGTAACTAAAGATACACTTTTCAACCATTTGAAATAAATGTAATAGATATTAATTTACTACAAATTAATACTTATAACATTAAAATATGATCAAATAATAAAATATATTTTATGTTATTTTGATAACATTTTCAAATAATGTATTATTAAATGTAATTAATAATTAAATAATTTAATTAAAAAATAAAAATTGAATATATATATTTTTTATGTCCGTAGAATCACTGTTTTTGGACATTAAACATTGTTTATTCAGCTCTTGCTTTGCCTAGTTGTAATTGGTTGGAGTGGTTATTCAGGAAATTATTGAATGGAAGAAATAAATTGTTTTTAGGGCTATGAAAGTAGGTGATATGGGTGGTCCAACCTGAGTTAATGACATTTGATTTGAGCTGTTCAGCCACAGCTTTATGCTCTGGTGCTGAAACTTCAAAATCCTTCAGGACGTCCAGCACATTGACAGGCTCCACGTCTGTGTCATTGGGCAACCACTCCATAAACATGTTAACAAACAGAGGGTCTGCCTCACACTCTTTAAGAAAAAGAGATACAAGTGACCGGCCCTCTGATCTCAGATTGGTGCGGAGACTATAGGAGGGATAGCTGGAGCGGAGGGTAAAAAACCTGTGCCTGCCACGGTTAACTCTGCAGGTTACCTTCCACCATGGATCACAAAGGTGAAATTGGCCTGTGACCTTGTACGTCCTGTTACCAGTCACTAATAACACTGCAAAAGAAGAAAATAATAGCGTACAATTGCTACAGTTTAGTCCCTCTTTCAGGAGTGAGATGAAACAGCATGATACTTTTACAAGTAACAGCGTAAAATTCAAGTTACTTTTACCTGTAAAAGTGTACAGTTTAAACTCTTAACGTTACAATCACTAAACATTGTTACTTTCAATATTAACCCGTTTACTCACCCACAACACTTGTTACTTTTCGATAAAAGAGTATTAAAATGAAAGAAAGAGAATTAAAACTGTGATACAGTTGTGATAGTCTTTTCAACTAGATAGCTAGCTATAATTAATTATTATTTTATTTGGTCGTGGCAACCCTGTTGAAAAAAACAGCATATGCTGTTTTGGTAGGTTTTGAAGCATGGCTGCTGGTTTGAGCAGGTTTAAGCTGGTCCTTAGCTGGTCATGTGCTGGTCCTGAGCAGGAGCTAGTTACTTAGGACCAGCTTAGGACCAGCACATGACCAGCTAAGGACCAGCTTTAATTATGGTCCCCCTTGGCTGGCCCCCAATCAGCCCGGGCCTATTTGCACGTGCATACCAAGACGCTACGCCCCTGGTTTTGGATAAATAACTGATTCATTCACGTTATAAAACTAAAAAAAATAAAAATAAATTATACTTCAAAGTATTGGTACATTAAACAATAAAAAAAAAAAAAAAAAATTATACTTCAAAGTATTGGTACATTAAACAATTAAAAAAAAAAAAAAAAGAGATAAATACACATTTATGGATTATTACTCCCTTTTCCAAAACTGCTTGATTAGAAGAAGAAATAGGACTAAATGGGTTAAACAGTATATTTAGTGATTTGCTGTTTGAAAGTACGTCCGTTTATTAATATTTGCCTTACCTTCCTTTAACGCTGGCATGGAGGTTTTAAAAATTTTTCCCCCAGATGAGACACAATTCACCTCATTCATGTCCAGAAATTCAGGCTCTATTTCCTCTTCTTCATTTTCGATTTCTACATCATCCTGGTTTGACTGAAAATCGACACCATCTGATCGAATGTAACCAGTTAACGTTAGTTCACGCTGCGACATTCTAACTTGAACTCTAATCAAAGAAAAGGAGGGTTTCGATTTTAATTTCGCGGTTATTATAGATGACGATATTACTGCACCACCCAATAATCAGATTTTTCCAAAATAAAAGACTCGGTCAAATTAGACACGAATTGTGGTTTCTTTCGGTTCTTTTATTGTCAAGAACACTGTACATTATTTTCATGTGGTTAAAATATGTACGCACATAAATTAGATCAAAAGCCCCTTTTGTTTCCACAAATTAATTATACTTGCTAGAGTCGTCTAAAACATAGAGATCTTGAGAGATTTGTAGACACTATAAGGTAGCGAAGACACCGAAATGTTTTAACATGGTGTCAGCTCATCTTTAGACTTTAAAATTACTCTTTTAATGAATTATAAATATGTAACGTTAAAATGAACTACTATAAATGACCACCACCCTCTTAAAGTGACAGTAGTAGTAAGTCTGCGTAAAAAAATATTCTTTTTAATATTCTTTTAGAAACGATTTTTATGTAACATCACCCACATCCACTTTTAATCTTCTTTTTTATTTTTTTATTTAAAAAACTCAGCTTAGGAATAAGTTATGTAGATTTCTAAACTACTTTCATTTGAAATATGTAAAAATACTGTTAAAATATCTTCAAATATGTTTAAAAGAAGAAAAAAACAAACATTTATACAAAATGAGCATCAACACTACCCACTGCTGATTTTTTTTATCGAGATGTCCAACCTTGCTGATTCACTCTGATTTAAGCGAAAGAAGTTCTTCAGTTTTTATTAACCCCTGGTTGTACAGATTAATTTTATTCTTTATTTTCTCTTTTGCTGGATTCGTGATGCTATTCTGAGAGGGCTGGGCATCATCGTCTGAAAAAGAAAAATACTGGATATTAATTCTGAACCTGCTTGGACATAAATTAGTCTGTGCTGACAATGAAGTTTGACACTTCCGAGACAGATTTCGCTGTGAATGCTGCCTTGAATCTACTTGCCTAGAGTTACATATAAAACAGACTGACTGAAGCCATTCGCACAGCAGTCCTCACATCCCAGCACTTCGGTTCCAGTGCTACAGCTGCACTCCACAGGCCAGCTCCCATATAAGTCCAGGCAAGCTGCAGAGTCTGACTGCAGACTTTGTGATGCTGAAACCACTCTGTCATTTTCCTGAAGACATTCCCTGAGGGAATGCGACAAGTTGGGATCTCCAACACTCAAGAAAGTGACCTCAGACTGGCTGCACTCGCAGGGCTCTGCCAGATTGGGAACTCTGGGAGGTAGCGGTTCCTCCAGTGGGCTGTACATTTCATCAAATTCAATGGGAAAGCTTAGACGCTGACTAAGGCCATTATATGGCCGCTGAAGAGGGATCGTATCATCTAGAGTGTGCGGCTGGTCCTCAGGCAGTGCAGGCATGGGAAGAAGTTGGTTTAGTCTCTGAAGCACCTGAAGAGGAATAAAATAAAGTTTATATTAGTTGATATGTGTATATGTTTACATAAATGAGAATATTTACTAACCATTTCCATGCTCGGCCTGACTCGCATTTTGCTGCCTGTGCACTCTAGTCCGATTCGGAGCAGACAAAGTGCCACCGCAGTAGGCCAGTGCTCAACTTTGGGATCTAAAAACCGCAGACAGGCATCCACAGAGCTTTTTTCCTCAAACTCTGAATGCAGTACGTCTCTCTAAAAAAAAAAATGCAATGGCATTAGTCAGTCAATTATATTAATCTAAAATATGAATTATATTAACAGATTCACAGAACTCAATTTCACAAATATTAATTAAATTACAAAATACAAATGAAAATAAATTATAATAATAATGATAATATTGATAATTAAATTATATTACAATTTAACACAAGTAGTTGTAAAAACAATTTCTATTTTAATACATTTAAAATGTCATTTATTCCTGTGACAACAAAGTCATTACTCCTGTATTCTTCAGTGTCACACCATCCTTCAGAAATCATTCTAATACTGATTTGGTGCTTGAGTAAAATCTTTACTTTGTTATCAATTTTGAAAACAGTACTGCCGCAAAATGTTGCTGTGGAAACTGTGACAGATTCTTTTTAGCATTATTTGATGGATAGAAAGAACAGCATGTATGGCTTTCAAAAGCAAAAATTAAAAACTAGTTACTAAAGTAAACTTTTTTTTTTTCCTTAAGATGATTCTTACCAAAAACAGATTTTTTGCTGACTCCTGTTTCACCTTTTGTCCTGTACAGGTCTCTAATATAACCTTCAAGCATAAAAAGAAAATGTAAAGAAATTTAATTAAAAAAATAGAACTTGAATTATGTTGGGCCAGTCATGACAGGCCAGTAATAACTGATAAAGAAATTTTAATGGCCAGTAATCTGCAGCTTGAACTGAACTGAATCAATGAATTGAATCATTGACATTAAAATGCTGACATAAAGCTTTATTTGTGCAAATTGTCCCTGGCTCTGGAATATCATTTTTTTAAACAGGATGCTGCACTCACCATCCCAAGGCTATAAACGTCAAGTTTGATTGATAGCTTGCCATCGCGGATGTACTCCTCTGGGAGATAGCCAAGGTTGCTATGGGAGGCTGTATCCATGACGATAGTGCAGCTCTGATCGACAGAGTGCGGTCTGAGATGAGCTAATCCAAAATCTGATAATTTGGGCTGCAGGTGCTCATCCAAGAGTATGTTTGAACTGTGAACACAACACAAAACAAGCTCATTTCAATGCACCATCTTCACTGGGCACCTAGAATCTGTAGATTTGGCTTCACACTGGCACCTCGTAATGTTTCCACAAATAACCACGCACGGTTGTGCAGTGTGTAGATGGTGGATTGCCTTTGCGGTGCCTTTGATGATGTTCAGCCTTTCCTGCCATGATAGAGAACTCTGAACTTCCTGTAACAAAAGCAAGAGTAAGCACTATGAAAACTTCAACTTTAGATTGCTATGATGAAACAAGTTACAGTCTGCTGTCAGATGATTTACCTCATGAAGCCTGTGGAACAATGATCCGTTATGAAGGTACGGATAAACTAAACAGAAGCGATCTGCCTCTGAAAAGCTGCCCCATAACTCCAAGATATTAGGATGCTGGTAGCTAAGCAGACAAAAATGAGAGCCATTACAATATGACAAACACCATTCGAAAAGTCACTGGAATATGATAAAGCATGCACAGACTGAACCTACAGTTGTAGAACTTCAATTTCTTTGGTGAATTTTCCCCACAACGCCTTCCAATTAGCTTTGTTTTCCTGTTAAGATAAAAAATGTGATCAGTGTTTTTCAAAACATCATATGTGTATGTGAAATCAGATATTAATTAGTTCGGACCTGTTGAAAAACTTTCACAGCAAAAGATCTGTTAAAATAATTCAAATAAAATGTAATTATTTAAATTTAAAAATAGTAAAATAATTTCCAGCAATTTAGTAAATAATTTGTACATTCTTGTATTTTTATTATATTATTTTATTTTATTATTAATTTAAAATAGAACAATTGCCAGAAAAGAACACACGATAATAGAATGGCAGATTAATGTAATAATAATAATAATAATAATAATACAGTGGCATGCAAAAGTTTGGGAACCCCTTGCAGAATCAATGTAATTATTTAAATTTAAAAATAGTAAAATAATTTCCAGCAATTTAGTAAATAATTAGTACATTATTATTATCGTCTTGTATTTTTTATTATATTATTTTATTATTAATTTAAAATAGAACAGTTGCCAGAAAAGAACACACGATAATAGAATGGCAGATTAATGTAATAATAATAATAATAATACAGTGGCATGCAAAAGTTTGGGAACCCCTTGCAGAATCTGTGAAAATGCCGGGATGAATATCCGATGTTTCTCATAAGATCCAATACAGAAAAAAATTGTAAAAATCCAGCTTAAGCTGCCTGGATTTCTAGCTGGTCCAAGCTGATCATTAGTTTGTTAACCAATGTTCTGAAAACCAACCTTTGTTGTACTTAACAAACTAGAAGCTGGTTTGTTGGTGGTAGACCATCTTGGATCAGATAATTA